CAGCCCCAGGGGTGTGAGAGACATACACACTGTGTGTGTGTGTGTGTGTGTGTGTGTGTGTGTGTGTGTGTGTGTCTGTGTGTGTGTGTGTGTTCCTGCCCAAAATCCCAGGGAAACTGGAGGAGAGGGATTGTGATGTGGCCTTTCCTCCTGGGCAGAGGGTGATTTCTCACTTTCCCTCTCTCTGACCGTCTCTTTCCCGTGAATGCACATACCCTATGGCAAAGTTTTGTTATTTGGGGAGGGTGATATATTTCAAGATTACTCTATTTAAATAGCCTATTTACTCATAAAATGTAATTTGAGAATAAAGTTTTAAACAGAGTACATCATAGCTACTACATTAATAAACAAGCCATCTTTTGCTTACACCCTTGAATTTCAGTTTAATAATGGGATTGACACGTTCAATAAATTCATAGAGATGTGGTCTATTCACAACTTTTTTTTCTATTTTTAAGGACTTGGCTATGTTATTAAAGCTTGACGAAAAAGAGCTGCTCAAGCTCCAGGCATTGTTAGAGAAATATAAGCAAGAGAACTCCAGGACAACTGTCCGATTTTCTGATGATAATGATGGTGTGTTGCCTGTAAAAACATTCCTGGAATATTTAGAATATGACAAAGATGTGCTCAACATAAAGAAGATAAGTGAAGAGGAATATGTGGCATTAGGTAGGTAAAATAATAAGCTGCTCAGGACCATTACGCCAGCAGATGGCATAATGGCTATGTCACTGAACTCCCACATGGCCAATCGCGGTTTGAGTCCCGGACCAAAATCACCCTGGGTACATGTGTAAGCGTGCCCAAAATTCTGAAGGGAGAAAGGGGGAGAAGGGATTGCGGCATGGCCATCCCCCGGAGGGTGATTTTTTGCATTCTGCCTCTCTGGTGAGAACATGTGCCCTACAGCAAAAATCTCTCTTAAAAAAATTTTTTTTAATAAAATAAAGTAATAGTGGGCTCTTTGGATTTTCCCTCTTCTAGAAGAAAGTCTGGTTGGAGCATATAGCATCTCAGAAGTCCAGTTTGTTGTGAAATTAAATTAACCAGAGAATTTAATATGTTTTTCAGTCAATAAAAGATACTCTGGATATATATGTACTATGTCCACCATGTCATGCAAGTTGTATTAATTAGAACACTGAAGAAATAGCATTTGACCTATAATGATTTGCTTTCTACTTTAATAAATCAAGTAAATTCAACTATTATTTTCTCTTCTGCCATGCTGCTTTGCTTCTCTGGAATTTCAGATTACAATTTATGAATTTTTTTTCTTTCATTTATTTATTTTTACATTTTTCCACAAACATTTACTTTACATACCAAAATGTTTTAGCTCATACTCCATAATTCTTGACAGTTTACAAACAACTTTCAAAATTTCAAAATACTGAATTTTAAAGATAATGTTCAAAATATGTCTTATAATTTTGTATAATTTTATAACTCTATAACAGAAGCAGTATGGTTTCAAATATATATATTTAGAGTGCAGACACTCGGTATATATTAAGTGGGGACATACAATGCCTCTCCTTCATAGCATGGCTTGCTTCACTCAGCAGTAAGTCTTCCATATTCATCCACTTCCTTTCAAAAGCCAGGGTTTTGGGAACCAGCAGTTAGCGTAATGGCTATGTCGGTGGACTCCCATGTAGTCGACCGCGGTTCATGTCCGGAACCGG